TAAAATTTTCTAGGGGGAGTGGACCACTCCTCACACCCCCCACAAAACAATTGGAACTGTTGGAAGTTGCATTTGTTATTTCCAAACCAATATAGGGAGTAACTGAGCCCCCCCCCCCCCTCTGACTTACGCGATTTGATTTACGCGGCAAAAAAATTGACAATTTTATATTCTCTTTAGTAAGCAAAAAACCGCACCCCCCTTGGAGAAAAGTGTCTTACTGGCCTGGATAAGATAAACTAGTACTTTATTGTTCCGTATCTCCTGGAGTATTGGTCAAATACAACAGTACTAAAGAAACGTGCATACATAAAACATAATGTACAATATGGGATAATAATTAGTATCTTGCCAAATTGCTGGCATCAATGTGATATAGAATTACGCTGCCTTCGGAGTGGAGATTGTACCGTTTGTAGTTTCCGTTATATTTTGGCCATGCCACGTGTAAGAAAAGCGAATTTTAGAGACAATAGATTGATATCTTGTTTTTCCTCACATCTTTCTGGCTTTCATTGCAGCAGTGGGATGTCACTGTTTATCAATGACGGGATATTCTGATCTTGTTTTTCCTCACATCTTTCTGGCTTTCATTGCAGCAGTGGGATGTCACTGTTTATCAATGACGGGATATTCTGATCTTGTTTTTCCTCACATCTTTCTGGCTTTCATTGCAGCAGTGGGATGTCACTGTTTATCAATGACATCTTTCTGGCTTTCATTGCAGCAGTGGGATGTCACTGTTTATCAATGACGGGATATTCTGATCTTGTTTTTCCTCACATCTCTCTGGCTTTCATTGCAGCAGTGGGATGTCACTGTTTATCAATGACATCTTTCTGGCTTTCATTGCAGCAGTGGGATGTCACTGTTTATCAATGACATCTTTCTGGCTTTCATTGCAGCAGTGGGATGTCACTGTTTATCAATGACATCTTTCTGGCTTTCATTGCAGCAGTGGGATGTCACTGTTTATCAATGACATCTTTCTGGCTTTCATTGCAGCAGTGGGATGTCACTGTTTATCAATGACGGGATATTCTGATCTTGTTTTTCCTCACATCTCTCTGGCTTTCATTGCAGCAGTGGGATGTCACTGTTTATCAATGACATCTTTCTGGCTTTCATTGCAGCAGTGGGATGTCACTGTTTATCAATGACATCTTTCTGGCTTTCATTGCAGCAGTGGGATGTCACTGTTTATCAATGACATCTTTCTGGCTTTCATTGCAGCAGTGGGATGTCACTGTTTATCAATGACATCTTTCTGGCTTTCATTGCAGCAGTGGGATGTCACTGTTTATCAATGACATCTTTCTGGCTTTCATTGCAGCAGTGGGATGTCACTGTTTATCAATGACATCTTTCTGGCTTTCATTGCAGCAGTGGGATGTCACTGTTTATCAATGACGGGATATTCTGATTTAGGGTTACGATTTTTGAACCGCTAAAGAAGATTGCCGAAGATCTTTCCCTAGCCCTATAAGGACTTTGATTGGTTACTTGAAGCAACTTCGGCCATCTCAGTGATATTTATTTATTTATTTTATTTGACAGACGCCTTAGAAACGGCGGCACACTTATCACATTTTAAAACATTTTAAAACAATAATACATACTAAAAACATTTATACAAGAACTCCTTAGATTTGAGGATAAAAACATGGAGCTTAATTCTCTTGGACATAGTTTGGACTCAATATCGAAAAAAAATCCTGATCTCTCTTTAATAAAGGCGGGGCTTTCTAGGAGTCTATGTGTGATATCATCTTTACATGGATGTGGATATACATGGATCCATATCCATATACATGGATATAAACATCTTCGGTTCTGATGCACCTTTGCTCTCCCATTCTGATTTAGCTGAGATTTTAGTCAACATTAATCAACAATCAATAGACGTGTATTTCATATATTTATTTGGATTCTACGCTTTTGTATCAGCGGCACAACAGATATGTGCGACCATTTGAACATTTATATATATAATATCCAATTATGAAAGTGTCATGACAATGTTGCAATTTTTAACTGAACAGTAAAATTTGGTAGAAATAGGCCATTGTTCGCAAAATCAAGGTGTTTTGACCCCCAATTCACATAATTGGTTATATCTCTAGATAGGGTTGTTGAATATTGTTAAATTATATATCATTTTATTGCAAATTAAATTATCTTTAAAATGATATTTCATTGTTGGCGTTTTTGTTAAAAAATAAATATTTATTAGGAATATTAGCTAGGGGGGGGGGGTGGGCCACCCTGTATTTGATGACATATTTGAATTCTGTGTGTAATTTTCTATCAAAACAACTTTGATCTGATATTCGATGATTAGGGGAAGTTTTGCTAAAATATGTCCACATATCAAATATATCTTCAAGTGATATTCGATATATGTGCATGCAACCATGCAGGGGGGGATCTGGGAATCAACAAGGGGGGGGGGGCAAATTTCAGGTATGAGAAAAAAACTTTTGGGCCCCTAAATTTTGAGACCAATTTCCTTCAAAACAAGGCCCTTTTTTCGGACCCAATTTTTTTATGGGCCCACCCAAAGGGGGGGCTGCCCCCCCCCCAGATCCGCCAGTGACCATGCGATAAAAGATATACACCCCACATTCGCCCATTATAGTATAATATATTATATTATAAATATATCGTGTTTTTCAGATAACTTAATAAGTGAGCCAAAATATAACGAAGATTGTTTGTACCGATTTTAATAAGATTAGGCTGTAGGATAACACTGCATGTACAGTATCTAGGTTAAGTGCCAAGATAAAACGCCAAATCAAATTGTCGACATAGTCCAGCTACTACAGTATGCCAAGTGAGCATGGCAAGTACCGAAAGTTCAACAGTTTAACATTTTCATTAAGGCAAGAACATAATAGCCCTTAACTCCTGAAAAGAACACTTTTAATCTTGTATATCTTAGTATCTCCACGAATTTAAACTGAACATCATTTGCGTCCTTTTTACTGATATTGATCTCTCATCGCGATAGCCGCGCCCCCTTTGTCTTTCTCCTTCCTCGCAAACGGCAGGTAAGAGGGGCTCTGGCATACCAGAATGTTGATCTCTAGTTAGTTGTAATACATTCCACATATTCATTGGCAGTGCTCGTCTTCAACATTACCACTGCGTAAGGCAGAACTTAGTCTCAGCTTCCATCGTAAGGTGGCGATTTCACCAAAAAATAATTAACGTGATTGGTTCTTGTTAATAAAAACGGCAACTTTTTTCTTCAAGAAGCCAAACAGTACACTTGCTTCAAGACTGGAATGTCTACTCTGACAACCAATTTTTGCTTTCTAGAAATCACTAAACTGAAAAGTTGACTTGCTTGACGTGCTTGGTCATTTTACTTCAAGACGAGATTAAGATGCCGGAATAATTCGAACGCTCATCATTTTGCATACTTTCTGGAGATGATCCAGAACTAAGCTGAAAAGTTGAATATATAGTGATTTATATCGCCATTCACTTACTACAACAACAATTGGTCACAGGGAGTGTACCAAATTAACCCTATCCACCAAAATAGTTCTCACGGTAACCGGACAACTCATCCCGTAGACAACTTATCCCTGGACAGCTTCGTGTGATAAAGAATGAGTTGTCTAGGGGATGAGTTGTCTAGGGGATGAGATGTCCAGGGGATGAGTTGTCCAGGGAATGATATGTCCAGGGGATGAGTTGTCTAGGGGATTAGTTGTCCAGGGATGAGTTGTCTAGGGGATCAGTAATCCGTTCTCACTACGTTCTCGAAAACGGGCTTCAACTGTGTTCAAACGGACTGGACATACTTAGAACCGTTTGGAGTCTATTTACAAACTTCACCGAACGTAGTCGAACGGGTAGGTCCTCTAGAACTTAGAACATGCTCAAAATGTTCTCGTGGTCTTCACGTTCTACAATTAGAACGAGTGACAACGTACTTACGACGAGCTGGACGTACTACGAACGGAACCATCGTACTTCAATCCTACTATAATAGGGACGTTTTACGAGTTGAACTGTCTGAGGACGTATTAAGAACGAGGTAGAACCAATTGCAAACGGGTTTAAACTGATTAAGAACGTATTTAAGACTGCTTATGAACGAGTTAGCAAAAATATAGCTATCACACCAAACAAGTTGCCACTGTGTTCTTAAAAACTGGTTTTAAACTGTGTGCGAACGGAATGAACGTAGCTGCAACTTTTTTAGGTCTATTTACGAACTTCATGAACGTACTCAGACGGGAAGGTGATTTTAGAACTTTGAATCGATTCAAAATTCGATGGCGACCATACCGTTCTGTAATAAGGTCATGATGAGCTTCTAGACTAAGGGACGCGTGATACGACGTTGCACACCGACCTGGTGCGACCTGAACGAACTGTGAATGAGATGGACGTTTTGAGGACTGTTTATGAACGAATTGGCTAATTATTTTATATTTCCCGACTACAGCCAGATTTAGCCCCTTTTACGACTTTTTCGTAGGACTGGAAAGAACGGTTGAGAACTAGTTTGGTGTGATAGGGGGTAAGCGCGACAGTTGAACGCACGGGGTAAGGTTCAACACGCGGGTGTTGCGATTTGAGCAAACTGATGTTTTCATCGTTCAGAAAGATCTGGTCTAGTTTTACGCTCGGGCAAATTTACCTGAGATACGGTTCAACACAAATTCACATTCTTTGTGTTGTACCTCACCGTATACCGTATACTACATTGGGAGTTTGTGTAGGTTGAACTATGAAATTCACTGTCAAGTTCACTGTCTAGGATGTTGTTACAGACATTTACATTAAAAATCTCTAGAAATTAGACCAGCTCTTTCTGAAAAGATGAATACATCAGTTTGCTTTTTCATCACCCTCATGTTGTACCTTACCACGCGCGTTTAACTGTCACGCTTAATTTGGTACACACCCTGTGTCAATCGCGCTCAATTGCAGGGAGTAGCCACCATGCTGGACTAAAATCACTGAACAGCGTGAAAAGAGATTAAATCGCATATGAACAGGTAGACAATAAAAACCAAAATCCAAATATCATGTCAGATTATCGTAAGACAATAACGAAGAAACTGTATTCATTTTACATGTAATTAGAGGAAGGAGATAAAAACAACCATATTTGGTTATAGGAAAACATTAACGAAGAAATAGTATTCATTTTATACGAAATCGGAGGAAGGAGATGTCGAAATAACCATATTTGGTTATTGAAAAACATTAACGAAGAAATAGTATTCATTTTATACAAAATCGGAGGAAGGAGAAAGACATTAACGAAGAAATAATTATTTATTTTATACGAAATCGGAGGAAGGAGATGTCGAAATAACCATATTTGGTTATTGAAAAACATTAACGAAGATATAGTATTCATTTTATACGAAATCGGAGGAAGGAGATGTCGAAATAACCATATTTGGTTATTGAAAAACATTAACAAAAAAAAGTATTCATTTTATACGAAATCGGAGGAAGGAGATGTCGAAATAACCACGTTTGGTTATGGAAAGACATTAACGAAGAAATAGTATTCATTTTAGACGAAATCGGAGGAAGGGGATGTCGAAATAACCACTTTTGGTTATGGAAAGACATTAACGAAGAAATAGTATTCATTTTATACGAAATCGGAAGAAGGAGATGTCGAAATAACCACGTTTGGTTATGGAAAAACATTAACGAAGAAATAGTATTCATTTTATACGAAATCGGAGGAAGGAGATGTCTAAATAACCACATTTGGTTATAGAAAAACATTAACGAAGAAAAAGTATTCATTTTATACGAAATCGGAAGAAGGAGATGTCGAAATAACCACATCTGGTTATGGAAAGACATTAACGAAGAAATAGTATTCATTTTATACGAAATCGGAAGAAGGAGATGTCGAAATAACCATATTTGGTTATTGAAAAACATTAACGAAGAAATAGTATTCATTTTATACGAAATCGGAGGAAGGAGATGTCGAAATAACAACATTTGGTTAAGGAAAGACATTAACGAAGAAATAGTATTCATTTTATACGAAATCGGAGGAAGGAGATGTCGAAATAACAACATTTGGTTAAGGAAAGACATTAACGAAGAAATAGTATTAATTTTATACGAAATCGGAAGAAGGAGATGTCGAAATAACCATATTTGGTTATTGAAAAACATTAACGAAGAAAAAGTATTCATTTTATACGAAATCGGAGGAAGGAGATGTCGAAATAACAACATTTGGTTAAGGAAAGACATTAACGAAGAAATAGTATTCATTTTATACGAAATCGGAGGAAGGAGATGTCGAAATAACAACATTTGGTTAAGGAAAGACATTAACGAAGAAATAGTATTCATTTTATACGAAATCGGAGGAAAGAGATGAAAACGTTCATCATTAACGAAAAAACTGTATTCAATGTATGTAGGATCGGAGAAGGAAAATAAAAAATTAAAAGTCGAAATAACCATATATCAGATTATTAAAAGACATTAACGAAGAATCAGAATTTAATATAGGATCATCAACAAAATATATTTCATTACATTCTTATCAGACTCTCGTGTCATGAAAGAACAAACGTGAACATGCAGAAATACATTTCCCTTTTTGTGGGAATACTTTGTACATTTTTGGGAGGAGTTTTGTATTGCTTCAACACGTATGCAGTCGCATTGAAAGCTACATTCAACTACACACAAATAGATTTAGAGCATATTTTTATAAGTGCCGATGTAGGCCAAAGTTTTATGCTCCCCGCCGGATTTGTATTTGATAAATTTGGACCTAGAGTTGTAAGTTTATTTGGTCTGATTTTCACTGGAGCTGGATTCGCACTACTTTGGATGGCAACAAAGTTTCAAACATTTTTCGCTACTAATGCCTGGCTGGGCTGTATAATATATTTTCTTACACTATTTGGAACAACATTTTCGTATATAGCAGCTATAAGTGTTAACTACAGAAATTTTGGAAAAAATTATAGAGGTGTAATACTAGGGATTCTCTCCGCTGTATTTGGGGTTGCTGCAGCAATATACAGCGCCATCTATCAAGGCTTTTTTGTTCAAGGTCACATAGAAGATGCCGAGAACCAAAAATATGGAGATTTTATGCTGTCCCTTGCTGTGCTTAATGTAATCATTAATTCCTTTGCGATAGGCCTACTTAAGGAAATTCCAAATGAGAAAATATGTGATGCAAATGAAAGTAGTGAATTGAACGATCTCTTCAAAACATGCAAAGAAAACAAAGTTGCTGATAACCAAAGTACTGTAGATGAAAGCGGAAATGAGAAAAAATCATTGATTTCAAATGACAACATTCCATTCCCGCCAAATCTGAATGCTTGGCAAACCTTAAAAACGGTGCAATTTTATTACCTTTTTACAATAACTTGTATTTTAGTGGGAACTGGTGCTACATATATCAACAATATCTCGACTGTCTTGAAATCCATTAATAGAGAAAATAATATTGCAGTTTTTACAATAACCCTCCCAATTTTTAATGCATTAGGTAGAATGAGCAGTCCTTTGGGATTCAATTATATTTGTATGAAATGGCCTAACATACCAATTTCGGCAAGTCTCTTACATTGTGTTATTTCAATGTTTATAGGTCTACTTGTTATGCCTTTTTCCTATCATGAATTTGTTGGCTTATTCATTAGCGCGCTTTTGATCAGCTTTGCGTTTGGGTCATTTTATGCACAAATTCAATGGGTCTTTATGGAATTATATGGTGTAAAATACATTGGACAAATCCTAGGTCTCGTATTTGCGGCACATGGCCTGGGTTTGTTTGGACTTCAACAATTGTTTGGCTTTAGTTACAAATTGAATAGCCTGGAAGGATCCAATGAGTGTTACGGTGAATCTTGTTCAAAGAGATTGGTTGTTTTACTTGCAATTTTATGCTTTTGTGCATTGTTTTTAAATATTTGTTTGATCAAAATAGAAAGAGATGGCCTGCTAAAGCGAAAAGAAAACGTTAAATAAAAATAGATTATTTACTAAGAGGGATTCGATATGGCTTTTATTCCGAGGGACAATATGATGTTTCTCAAGGGCCTCAAGGGCCCGGAGGACCAGAGGGAAATATCATATTGTCACGGATCTAAGCCAAAGAACAGATGTCTTGTTTCCAGACTTTGAATAAGTTCGGTAGCACGAATTTTAAAGTCTAGGAAATAAGTCACGAGTGGATAAATCACGTACATTTCATCGAGTCATGTGCTTAAATTATTTTCACATATTGAAAAGGATTTTGTAAGTATAACATTTTGCAAGAAAAACATTTGTGTCAATGGTCAAAACTAGGTCAACACTAACCATTTGACCTGCATAAGCACATGTCTTGCTATTCCTAATGATACCATTTGTAGGTTTTCACTGCCAACTTGAATTGAGAAATTTATGAAGGTACTTAATTTCACTGGATCTAAAAATAACCATGCTTGTTTGTAATTTCAAGAATGCAGATTATTTTAAACACTGTGTTTAGGTTTGCTGGACCTTGCATAACTAAGCATGAATTTGTCATAATTCGGATTATAATAAAAACTTTAGTACTTAAAAATAATATAGTTATTGTAAAATTATACAGGAGTTCTTTATGGAACTTAACACCGCAACGATTTATTTGACCGAAATGAACTTTAAAAAGTAGTTCAAACAAACACCCGTTACTTGACCAAGAATCGAGCCAAAATATATAAAGCAATTAGATGTAACCAGAGCAAATTGTTTTTAACTTGGGTAAAGCTAATGATATACTTGTTGTTGTTACAAGTTGCGAAAGTCAAAACTCGATCATCGTTGCCGCCAAACGCCAAAAATATCCTTTTGATTCTCACATTGCAAATACTCCGAACATTTGCCTCTGTTATTATAAGCTATGATTATAAGCTTTTTGGGCGGGCATTTTTAAATCAACGTGGCTTTCAGCCAATGTTGAAATTCTAAGGCATGTCTGGGACTCCATAATAACATATATACTTTATCGAACTCAGAATTCACATTGACATTAGTGTTGTACAATAAGGACCGACAAAAATGCTGTTACTTTTTAATATTTTTATAGATTTCTGATTTGTTTTTTACGGTACTTTGTCGAGCATTGTAACGATGTATTGTGAGAGTTATATAATGTACTCTAACATGAAGATGGTACTGGGCTGAACCTAATGTGCGTGTTTGTTAAATTCTGCAATTGTAATTTGCAATCTGCAATCTTGTATTTGTAATTCTGCAATCTTGTATTTGTATTTGTCAAGAATTAAATATCATATGAGTTTGACATCAGGAATTCAAATTCATGATTTTTTTTTATTGTTTATTGACATGAGTGGATTAAATAATCAAGGAAATCAATGATTTTTAAGTTAATAGTGTCAATATGTATGGTACAAAGTGTGATACATCATTGGAAAAATCGTCCAATGTTACGTTGATTGGAGTATATCTGATTTTTGTGAATCAATATCATAAATTACTACATTATATCCAACTAGATACTAAAATTTAGAGTGAACTAGATGCATGGGAATTTGGTATATTTCACGGATGTATTGTAAAGCAGACCCGATGATACCATGGGCTTGGCGGTAGGTTCGGCTCAACTCGGATCCTCGGAAACTCACTGTATCCGTGCATTTGGCAGATCAGAAAAGCCAAAGGGATCAACATATGTCTTTGAGAGTGAATTTAACCAATCTCTGAATGGGATCAGATGTGTAGAAATAGAGGGGCAAGGATAGTGGTCGAGACTTCTGTAACGAGTGGAATGCGAAACTTCTTGACGTATTGCTGAGGTCATATCCTTCTAGTGGTGGGTCAATGCAACTTTGCATGGTCTTTCCAATGGTATATCACTATAGGTACTATATATGAAGGTTTTCTCTTTAGCAAGGGGACGGGACTTATTTGGCACCCTCTGTCACATATATTACATACATTGTTATACAAACCTGTATTTGCCTGTACCTAAGTTCTGTATATAACATACAATAAACTATGCTCTTAGCTTTTAGCCAGATCCAGTTGTACTGTTAACACCCTCTATACGAACTCATTTATCTCCTCTTCCAACATTTTAGTCTAATTCATATACGGGAAAACGATGATCTTTTACAATCACCAAACGCGTTGTCCAACGGGAAACTATTTTCCAGAAACTCTTGAAGGGGGAATGTAAGAGAAAAGTTGCATAGGTATTGTCATGTGGTTGCTAGATAATAACATGTCATTATCCAGTCCATAACATTCCGTTTTGTTTTTTGTTTATTGTTATACTAGTTTAAAGCAAATAGGCCCTTAATACCTGGGGTAATCTTGTTACGTATCAAAGTAGGGAATATTTCATTGATTGGGTTACTATAGCAACGTATATCTCTGGTCTTCCACCCCTGTGGGACCCTCAACCACCAGCATTTGAAGTCATTCTAACATAGATTAAAATGGTATATGTGCCTATACTCTACACCTTTTTGCCATAAGCATGACAACTTTTCCCAAACCTGCTTGAAACAGTCTAAATAGAACTTGAGTAAATTCCATTCCCATCGTTTTTGGTGTTCGTATGCGGAAGTATACTTATGACGGCTTCGCACTGGGGACAGCATCTTTTCAAATCAACCGAGGTTGGGCCATGCAGCCGAAGGTAAGCCATACAACCGAAGGTAAGCCATACAACCGAATTTTGCCGATTCAATCTGACGGAGAATGCCGAGCCCCTATTTTTGACCAATTAGAGACGTCCTCTTCACATTCGTGGTTCCCTCGGCCAACTTCGTTTGCAAAGAAAAGCTTCGACAATCTTCGGCAATCTTCGGCAATCTCCGGCTTTTCTTGAGGTATTTTCGGTTAATTGGCAAAAGTCGACACCCCTTCGCACTGCGCTTCGGTTCGCATGTTAACCTTCCAAATCGCTGGATTTACAATTTACCCTATTCAAAAGGCCGCGTTTGTTTATATGTAACGAGGCCAATCCAGTTATGCCTTGGTCACATTTGCTCCGATTTTCACTACGGCGCCCGGCCGATTGAGTATTTTGTTCAAAATTGAATACATTATTGAGCAAAGCACTCAATCGGCCGGGCGCCGGCCGATGGATCCAGAAGCACTCGTTGCCATAAGTCGCGCCCTCAAAACCCGGGTTTGCCGTCATCCAAACCCGCCTTTGCAAAAAAACGAACGGTGCATTATTTGACTCGTTCGTGTTATTTACGATACTTTTCAAACCAGAATTTTCATTGTTTTTATTAGAAGGGTTCCTCGTAATTAACTCTTAACTATGGATATGTTGACTTAACTACAACGGACTTTTAACGAGATGTTTTGCGCATAGGGTTATAAAGTGTCTTGTATGATGCGCCCTCAACATCCGGGTTTGCCGTCATCCAAATCCGCCTTTGCAAAAATGTGAACGGTTCATAATTAGAGTCATTCGCGTTATTTTCGGGAGTTTAATTGCTTTTATTTGAAGATCCTTGTTATCAATTGTAATATTGTAAGATTTTGGCCCAGACTGACACAACAGAAATTGTCAACACTGGATGATGGTAATAGCTCGTAATTGTATTTAAATCAAATATTATCCATATTTATGAATAAAAATAGTATGTCAAGTTCCTCATCTCTACTGGTCAATTTTCCTTGCTTTAGTAGCCGTTGACCTGATACATTATCTTAGTCAAAATAGAGAACGAACGAATATAAGGGGTCTTCTAGCTTTGCACATTTTAGACCAATCATAATACATAACTTTTTCTAATATGTTTAACGTCTTGGTAGATAAAAAATAACACGTATAAAATTATAATAAAACGAACTTTTATATTTCGTGGCCTCATTAAACGCTTATTTCGTTTGGAATGGCCTTAAACCCTGGTCCGCGAAACACACATTTAAATAAGGGATTGGCGCACCCGGGTCTGACTGTAAACCTCCTGTTCACTGTCTCATGAATTATGAATGTAGTTTCGCACAGTTGTCAACGGAAACAAACAGTGAACCCTGGTTTCCCGAACCCGGGTTTCCAGGATTCGCCTTGCATGCCTTCGAATCTTTCTCGATGGATCGGAGCAAATGTGACCCAGGCATTACGCAGGGAACAACATTTTCAAGGATTTTTTACGAATATTCCTCTTTTGTTTGAACATCGTTCAAAATCAAAAGTTCGATATAGTCACACGCAAACTATTATATTGAAATTAAAACGTTAATAAAGAATTGGAATAGGTTTCTTCTTTCTCAAGCTTCCTTCGCCACATTCAGAGTTCCATGTTCCATCAGCGTTACAGCAAAGCGTCTCCAGGGCGTTTCCTGCCCCAGTGGGCACCCAATCATCGAACGTGCACCTAAAATGCAAAAGGAACATAGGCTATAAAGAGCGATTGGAAGAATCTTTATATAAAGATGGCAGCGTTGCAGCAAAGCGTCCCCAGGGCCTTTTCCTGCACCAGTGGACACCCAATCATCGAACGTACACCTTAAATGCAAAAGGAACACAGGCTTATAGGACACGCATGCACCCGATAAACTATGAAAATATGAATAGGGCTTAAAAGTATTATCAATTAAATATGTTAATCGCCAAAAATGGTTTAGACAAGAATGATATTGCCGACTATGGTGCACTCCCAATATATACACCCCCTTAATAAGTTTCGAAACATATGTTACCACATATGTTACACTCCCCACATATATACGTACTCTGGCATTCTGTTGAAAGCACCTACAAACTCCCCTGGGGGTAAGATAGGCAGATTGACACCATCCACCCCTGGATTGTCTCTGATCTGCTCACAAAACCTTTGACCCTTAGGAACGTTATCCTGAAATTAAGACGACCGGATGTACGATGAAATGAGGGTTATAAGAAGATGGTCATAATTGCAATATATATTTGCTGTTTTTTCCATGTCATGTTCATTTTCCAAGTCTAACATTCCTTTTTTATTTCAGGATAAAATTTTGCTTTTAAGCTAAATTGGAATTGTTGCATCTTATAATATTCAAATTACTAAAAACATCAACTAACATTGGGAAACATTTGCAAAGATTGGCAAAGATTGGCAAACATTGGTTTTTGAAGCTAATATAATTATGGTTAACGCTCTCCTTCCTTTTTACTTTCTGTTAGTGATGCTCATGTGAATTCTTTCGTGAGCAGCCACTTTTTGGCATGAAAACATTAAGCCTCTATCAAATTAGATTTTCAAATGTTTAGTTTGAAAATTCATCAATGGGTTCTGTAACCATCCTTAATAATCCTTATACTCAATCTCAACATAACGTGACTTGAGCTAGCGATAAAGAAAAAAAACATGGTAGATGGCTGAAACCTCTCACGGTGTTCTATGAGAATTCCAATCTCCAATTTTATTTATTTATAAGAACGATAAAAATCACTGTGACCATTCTCCGAACGCAGGGATCCAGACGTCATCTCTGTTCCGAATGAAGGAACCGAATGGATGATGTCTGTAGCCGTGCGTTCGGATGATGCCTAAAGAAGAGATTGCGAACTACGCAGACATAGCTTACATTCGGCAGAGGGTCAGCAAATGTACTATCCAATAGAATAGTTTCTGCTTCAAAACGGCAAGTTTCCTCGCACAAGACATCAACACTACAATCTTGATATGTATCAACAAATACTGTGTAAAGATTGGGTCCCTTATATTCAAAGAACCAATCATCCGTTGTGAGAAAAAGCGAACAGTCGCACCTGTAATACAGCATGGTTGCCATGGTTACAAACTGTTACTTTTGTTAAGTAATTCATGCCTCAGTCACAATGCTACAGCCGTACGACAGCCGTACGGCGCAGTTTGAATTTGTGGAAACAGAAAGTCTACCCCGGACAAATAAGGCCATTCTGTTACTCAGACCATCTCTGCAATGCACAGGAAATCGTTATAGAAAGGAAATCGTTCTAGAAAGGAAACTGAGAGAAGGCTGTGATATCTCACGATGATATAAGGCCTTTAATGGGATACAGCACACGTTTACCTTAAAGCGTCCTAAATACCTAGGGAGAGGCAACCATAAGGGGACCGTACGTTGACCATACGGGGACCGTACGTTGACCGTACGGGGAACCGTACAGAGTCTAATTTCAACAGCGACCGCAGTTATGAAAAAAGTCTCTGTTCAACAGCGACCGCAGTTATGAAAAAAGTCTCTGTGCTACAATAGAGGATTTGCAAAAAAGCTTTAGAAATCTCATTGAAATCTCATTTTAGCGAGATGACAGGAGAGCCATGGCGACCCCTGGCTACAGGCTGTAAAAAACTGGGATAAGCCTTATGTCGACAAGACGTTGTTGAATTTTCTGCGGCCGTAGGCTCGCAACAGAGCAAATGTGACTGAGGCATAAGAGTTGCTCTAACTAGAACGAGAGGAAACTTTCAAACATACAAATTAGTCCGTAGAACTCGTTCCCGGAAGATTATCAAGCACTTTTTAAAAATGGTGCTGAAAATAACCATTTCAGTATTTTTACATTTACTGGTTTTCCTACATTTATCTGTGTACCTAACCATGCTGTATGTACAGAATAAATAGACAATACGTCTTCGGAATCAGGGTTTTTATAAAAGATGGCAGCACAGATGGGCATTTGGCAACGTAACTGATTTTTCGAAATGCTCAGTGTGCCAGACAGGTCCAATCAAGAAGTGATAAGCAACGATGTATTTTCCTTACGTTTGGTAAAGGTGTACTCAGAGGTTCGTCGAGGATATCTTCCGAATCGAATCGGCAATTTTCGTCACAAATTTCCGCGTCAAAGGCACAATCTTCGTGAGTTGCATTCGAAACAAGATGGAGGATCGGGCCTTTATCTTCATCAAAGTAATCATCGGTGGCCAGTTTGATAGCACACGTGCAACTATATAGAATTTAAAAAAGTGGGTTAGCGTTTACGGTTTTGGGTCGAGGCACGGAAATTCAGTCATATATTTCTAGAAAAGTTTAATTTAATGTTGGTGCTAGTCTTTCAAATGTGTTATGATGGTTAGATAACCCCGGGATACTTCGAAACAACTATTACGTAGCCCTCTTGGATATTTTTGAGTTCCAATGCATGATCGGAACATACCTTGTGTGCTTGGATATACCATGGACGAGGGGTATCCCGGGGCGAACTATCTTCATATAAAGAGGTCAGTTTTACATGGCGAAAGTTTCATTCATGAATTCTGGGACATAATAATTTCGTCAAAAACAGTACTTATCAAAATATTCTCGGGCTCGGGGCTTAACGGACTTGTTTGGCAATTAAAAAAGGTTTGGCAATAAATTGCACAACTGCATGGTTTAGGTACACAGATCACAATAACTATTATTCAATCAATGGGCTAACGATTTTTGTTACGCAACCTGAGATAGCCGAAGATGTTTCAAACCTAACCCAAACCCACTGGGGGATCCGGGGGGGGGGGGGGCTGGATGCCAGTGGATGGACCCAGAAAAATATTTTTTGGGCTCAAAAATTGTAGGGCCTCAATTAGTGGTCCTATTACTTGACCTTTTTGGCCTTATTCTTTAGTATTCGGCCAAATTATCAAAAATGGGCCTTAAATCTCCAAAATCACTGTTCCACAACTAGTTACTTTGACGGAACGTCAATGTAACAAAATGGATGAACTTCCTGGATCCGCGTTTTTTGTTTCCTCGATTAAAACCTACTAATAAGTCAAGTTGCGAATTATCATTTGGCACAAAGTTAGACAATATAGTCTAGCCTTTAGAAATGCTCTCGGTTTTGAATTTGATTTATAAAGCTGTTATTGTCTTATTGATGTATTTAGACCATCGCTTTTGTTACATTGACGTAAGTCGTCAAAGTAACATACATTGGTAATATAATGGACTTTCGTCAATGTAACAAAAGCAAAGGACTAAATATATGAATTGCAACTTCATTAACAAAATAAATTACAAATCGAAGAAAAGCAAGACTATATTTTCTAGCTTTGCGCCAAATTATAATCTGCAACTTGACTTATAAGAAGCTTTAAATCGACAAAACAAAAAACTCGTAACCAGGAAGTTCCTCCATTTTGTTACACTGACGTTTCGTCAAAGTAACTAGTTGTGGAACAGTGAAAATATGGACCCAGTTTTTGTTTTTATGACTCGAAATGTGCTCCCCTTTTTAGCTTCTGTATCCACCAGTGAAACCCTAATCCTAACCATAACCCCTAAATCGAAAGAATTGGAAATTCGCTCGACTCGACCATCTCCAATATTGCGTAGCAACGATGCTCTCCCCATTCAATAGAAGCTTACGAAACACTTTGACCATCCACGGACACTGCGGCCAAAACGAGGGCGGCTATCAACAGCATTTCCCTATCTACTCTCCTATGACGGTCTATAATAAAAGCACTTGGTTAAGCCATATTTTCAATTGATGGATATCTGTTTAGAGGGATGGGGGGGGGGTGTCCAATTTACAGAAAATTCACAGAAAAATGGTTAAGCCATATTTTCAATTGATGGATATCTGTTTAGAGGGAAGGGGAGGGGTGTCCAAGAATTCACAGAGAAATTTGTATATCTGTCAAAATGAGCTCCTAGAAGCTCATCTTAACATAGAGATAGGATAGTCTATGAATACTGGATATTTTCTTTTCTTAGTATGAAAGTTCAACGTTTGCCAACCGGAAGTTGCACTTTGGACCACGTGAACTTTTTATGCTTTAAGCTATTTGAAGAAACAAATCTAGAAAAATAGTTGGCAAACAAAATTAAATTCAATAAAAACAACATGTAATAAGAACTTCAGGTGGCCCAGCTGGCGAGGGGGGGGGGGGGGGTTCAAGCTTCAGTTGAAGAAGTACTTTTACATTTAAAGTCATTAATTGCACATAATTTAATGATGTTAAATTGGGATAACAATGTACACATCTTTCATAATTATTTTGCAAATTTTAAGAATAGAAGCTACTATTAAGGTCAATGCTACTCGCAAACTATTCAATTCAATGGTCCTATTCAATCTGATAGTATTACAATATGGTCAATAAATGAAATAAAAACATTAAAAACTTACATTGAAGATGAATATGGTTGTCAGACAGCTTGTGAGCGAAAATACACTTCAAATAAGAGTGATATGGGAGAAAACATATGTTTCGAAGGTGAACCATTTCAAGGTGTTCTCAATGGTAAAACATACATCTTTATAAATAAATAGTTAATTATTAAATTGATAACTAATCAAATTTTATTTCATTCATTAATTCAATAGAGTGGTTATAAAGCCTTAGCGACCCAACCTCCTTTGTTTACATTCGCAAAACCGTTAAAAAACTAGAAACGTTTTCAAAACATTTTAAAAACTCAATAAATGGAACCGATTTCACTTGTCAGGTACGGGTATTTTAGTTCTACACGAACTGAGCACACTGACGGATCTGAGGGGCGGGCCTTGGGGCTGGGTCCAGAAAAAGTTGGGGCCAAAAAAAATTTGGGCGAAAAAGGCTTAAAGGCTCCAAAAAGTGGGCCTTTTTGGTCATTACTGCGCCTTTTAAGGCCTTATTTTTTAATTTCAGGCTAAATTTTGAAAAAATGGGCCCACTTTTGGGTTTTAATTTAACTAGCTGTGGAACACAATCTCCATTTCCGAGGAATAAGGTCATCATTTTTACCGAAATGATCATATATTCCGTGGTAATCAGTGCAACGGCTGTGATGTGGAACACTATCTCCATTTCCGAGGGGTAATTAAGGTCGCCATTTTTACTGAAATAATCGGTTATATTCCGTAGTAATGTAAACACCGAGAGTGTCACGGCTGTGATCATATGGAAGGAGTGTCCTACTCCATGCTTTCACTGCCAGACTTTTAAGATGACAAGTTGATACTTTTATTTGAAGAATTTCTGATATTAGGCCAGTGTTCCGTTGCTTTCAATTTCATCCTGACAACTACATGTACTACATTGAGAACAGGTTGATACTAGTATCTCCCAGCCTGTCTTATTTTGTTTCATTTCAATCATTCAATCAGTAACAGCTGCATGCAGCATTGATCCCTTTATAATCCTAAATATTTGTAAAAATCCACGTATTAGAATAGTTATACCGATTAAAAATTTATAAACCCCTTTTCGCCTCGGAAGTATTTTTTAATGAACATTGTCGTATGGATAATATACCACAGGGTCCTTTTAAACAGTACCTGTGATGCATAGTTTAAGCAACATCGGTCTCCCATCTTTTCACTTATTGAATGCGCTACGTATCATGTGTGTATTTTCATTTGAATCAATGTCAGACACATTCCGAAAGTAGAAACTAATGCCGCTTATTATGTGTGAAGAACATCTCACTTTAAAGTGTGCAACAACCAAGATGGGTAATGTATATCTGCGAAACATTTCCACATTGGATATCCCTTTACGTGGTGCATTCCTTCTTTTCATCCTCAGCTTCATCGTAGTTTACAATTCTTGCCTGGTGTAACCCTTTAGTTCGCCTCACTATTATCAAATAGACACTGAAATCGAAACAATTCAAGATGCATCAATGAAACCCAAGATGAACCGTCATTTTGGGTCTTCCTTTCCAAGCCATGAGAGTTACCTTTAAGGATCACAGAGCATTATTCACAGAGAGTACAATAAAACAATACGATCTAACAACTACCACAACTGCATATGTTTCTTCACATAAGGCTAAATGCTTTAACTGTAGTCATTAGGTCGATAGATGGCAGTAATGGTTGTCTATTTATGCTGTACAAAGCCATCTTTCTATTCACATACATTAGTATAGTAGGAACAAGGGGTTCCCATGCACCCATAAGGTGTGAATAAGTCACATACATTTTTGTAATCCCTAGGGTGTCTATTTAATGAATTCATTTGTTAACATTGCCAACTAATGTCCCATAGTACTTTTATGGCGGCATTCAGTTACCATGGTTACGCATCTTTAGACATCTTACCTTGGTATCTTAAATCATTTGTAGCTCTGTCATTATTTGGTCTATAGAAATGATATTGGTACCAAATTGAACCTCGTTAAATTTTCAATACATTTCTGATATTCAATTATGCAAATTATCTAATTTGCATAAATTATGACGTCATCAATCTATTTTTGGTTCAGAATTTCCAACTATAGCAACGTATCTATTAGAACTGAGGCCGTATGGCAAAATTTCTGAAAGGTTTTGTCCTTTATTCTATTAGAAGAAGGTATAAGCAACATAAAAGTGAAAACAGATTCAAAATTGAATCAGTATTACGAAAGTTATGTAACTTTCGAGGCAGCTATCGTGAATGTCATTATTTGACAATAATATACATACATCTTGAATCAATGTAGCTTCGCCATTATTTGGTCTATAGAGATGATATTGGTATCTAATTAAACCTTATTAAATTTACTATATGGTTACAATATTCAAGTATGCAAATTAGCTAATTTGCATTAATTGTGACGTCATCAATCCATTTTTGGTTCAGAATATCCTAGTATAGCAACATATCTATTAGAACTGAGGCCGTATGACAGAATGTGTGCATAGTTTTGTCCCTTATTTGATGAGTGGAAGATATAAGCAACATTAAAGAGACATCAAATCTTCAAAATTGGATCAGAATTAACAAAATTATCCAGCTTTGGAGGCAGCTACTGTGAACGTCATTGTTTGACAATTATATTTTTATTTTATTTATTTATTGACACAACCTAGTAACATATTACATTAAATACATACATGGTATCGTCATGCTATGAAAAGAAAATGAATGTACAGTTTATATAATGTAAAAATATATATATATAACTATCTATCATCTATTATCTATAATACTGGTTACATAGATCTTTTTCTGAGGCATACAGTTATGAAGTGTGAGATGTCGCTGAGGTTAGATTTGTAGTTCATTATGTGTAAAAATTTACTTTCATCAGTCATTTGTTTAAAGTTAGGAATGTTATTAGATATCTTATCAAAAAATGTTTGTCTTTCATGATTAAATTTTGCACATTTTAATATGAAATGTTCTTCATCTTCAATTAGATTTTCCTGATTGTTGCATTGTTTACAGTGTCTGTTTTTGAGTTTAATGTTTTTATGTCTACCAGCTTCAATTTCTAGTTTGTGATCACTCAGACGTAGTTTAGTAAATTGTGTTCGATTGGCCAGTCTTTTTTCATTAATAAGATATTCTTCAAAATTCAAGTCGTGTTTAAATCTAGTGTAGGTTCTCAGTTTACTGTTTTGGTTTTTACTCTGACCAGTCTGGGTTTTGATTTTCCATTGTGATTTAGTTAAGGCTGTAAGTTTATCTTTAACTTCTTTTATAAAATCATTTTTTGATTTTTGGGTTGTAAATATTATATTTTCTATATTGATGTTAATGCTAAGTAAGCTATTCTTAATAAAGGATAGCCATTTGCTGTATTTGAGGGATTTTATGTGGTTGAACACCTCAGAGGTTAGACTATTATAAAAAGAACATTAAATTAACAAAAAAGTAACAACCATAGTTGTTTCAATCTTATTGAGTAAAAATGTGCATGTATTGAACTGAACTAATAAGTATGTGGAAAGCTTACATGTATTTTGACTATCATTCACAGGGGTCAAAACGGTTATCTCGACCCTGTATATTAAAGATCCAATTTTATAATTTACCATGCACTTTCAATGATTCATATAAATAGTATACATATAGTCTGATTTTCATCATATTCTTCATATTCTTGATTCTTAAAGTATCTGAAGTATAAAGCATGATTAGAAGTGAAGATGATTCATCATATGGTTTATGTAATATTTCTAACATTTCAGATGCTATGGTAACATCACTTGATAATGAGGTTTTTACATTTCACGTTCTTAATGAGTTAGAAGAAAGTTATTCTCCCTTTGCTTTAGAGATAAATAGTCACATGAATTTGTTTAAAAAAATTATAACTTAATTTAACCCCCTCCTGACAGCCCCCATATTTGAAGATTTTGGTGAAACCTGGCAAAATACATTAATTATTAGGTTCCAGAAGCCCCTAGAAGCTATATGATGGCCCCCAGTGGCCCCAAGAATCTATACAGGGGCCCCAAGTGGCCCCCAGAAGGTATACGATGGCCCCCAGAAGCTATACAAGGGCCCACAGAAACTATACTGTGGTCTCCAGAAGCTATATGGTGGCCCTCAGAAGCTATATGATGGCCCCCAGAAGCTAATTAGTGGCCCCCAGGAGCTATATGATGGCACCAAGAAGCTAAACAGGGAACCCCAGTGGCCCCAAGAAGCTATACGATGGCCCCCAGAAGCTATACAGCAGCCCCCAGAAGCTACACGATGGCCCCCAGAATCTATATGATGGCCCCCAATGGCTCCCAGAAGCTATAGAGGGCCCCCAGTAGCCCCTAGAAGCTATACGGTGGCCCCCAAAGCTATATGGTGGCCCATTGGGGGACACTGTATAGCTTCTGGAGGCCATCGTATAGCTTAAGGGGGCTACAGTATAGTTTCTGCGGGCCCTTGCATAGCTTCTGGGGGCCATCTTATAGCTTCTGGGAGCCACTGGGGGCCCCTGTATAGCTTCTGGGGGCTACAGTACAGTTCCTGCAGGCCCTTGCATAGCTTCTGGGGGCCATCGTATAGCTTCTGGGAGCCACTGTGGGCCCCTGTATAGCTTCTGGGGGCTACTATATAGCTTTCGGGGCCACTGAGGGCCACCGTATAGCTTCTAGGGGCTACTGGGGGACCCTTTATAGCTTCTGGGAGCCATTGGGGGCCACCATATAGATTCTGGGGGCCATTGTGTAGCTTCTGGGAACCACCATGTAGCTCCTGAGGGTCACTATTTAGCTTCTGGGGGCCATCATATAGCCTATGAGGGCCACTGGGGGCCACCGTATAGCTTCTAGGGGCTACTGGGGGCCCTTCACATCTTCTGGGAGCCATTGGGGGCCATCATATAGATTCTTGGGGCCATCATGTAGCTTTTTGGGGCTCCTGTATAGCTTCTGGGGGCCATCGTTTAGCTTCTTGGGGCCACTGGGGTCCCCTGTATAGCTTCTGGGAGCCATCGTATAGCTCCTGGGGGCCACTAATTAGCTTCTTGAGGCCATCCTATAGCTTCCGAGGGCCACTGGGGGCCACCATATAGCTTCTGGAGACCAT